AACAAACTCTTGACTTAGAGGTCTCATTAATCTCCATCTACAGTATAAATGAGCATGCAGGATCTATCAAACAGGATAACAGAGCTAAGACAAATATTTTTGGAAAAAGAAATGCAGGGAAGAATCTTACGCAAACCATCACCAGGCTGGGTGTGGTTTATCTTCCATACATCTTCTTTACCTGATGACTTGAAAGCCAGGGGCAGGCAGACCTTTCAGTCCTGTTGCAAAAACAGAAATTCATGGGAAAGTCTGACTGCAACCATGTCTTCAAGAGATACTCCAGTTAGGTTCTTCAACCTAACACTAACTACTGCTTCAGAGACCCCCTCTGGGTCGCCCACAATGACTGCATCCTTTCAGCTAGTTTGGTGCTGGGGTAAGCAATGGCGAATTTTGGCAACGCATACAGTCTTCATGGGCAGGACATGAAGACAGCCTTGGCCCAGCTGATACAGAGTGGTCCATGTCTATACCAGATATGTGATATATCATGGGGGTGTTACAGGTCTTCCGGAGTAGGGTGCCTGTGTCTGCTCTGCAAGCACTTGGTCTGAGTCTGCCCTCAGCCAAGTCTGACATTCAGCCTTGAGTCACTGCCACTTTTTGTTTTGCTTTGCTTTGCTTTCAGAATGCCCAAAATAACAGGACAGTTATGTAACAGCCTGAGAGAACGTTTATATAGAGATGCTGAGGGTGGTCATTGCATTCAGCAGGGCATGACTGGGGCTGCCTGAGATTGCAAAGTTTGCTGAGGATTTGGTGATTAAAGGAGCTAGGCAGCTTGTATCAGAGCACTTGGAGTAAAATAGTATGAGTACAGTCAGATGGTCAGGTATGAACTAAGGTGGAAATCAAAATAGCAGTGTAGGCACATTTTGCAGGTTACTCTCTCCAGGAGCAGACCCTGCTTTGGACAAGCTGTTGGCTTTCAGAACTTCTGCTGCCTTCCCTGGTAGGACAATGAACCTCTTCCTCAAGCCACCACCTCATGAGAACACTAATAATTGAAACAAAGAGGGGCAGATTTTGAAAGAGTTTAAAAATCAATCCTTGTTGACTTCCAACAAGAGGGTAATACAGAAGAATGGCTGAACAGCAAACACATTTGCATTTCTGTCTCTGCCACAGTTTTTTCACTGTACTGCAGCATGCTTTGGTTCACCTCAGGGTCAGGCAAGGGATCAAGAATTACCCTCAACCCTTGCATACATCTCTTTACAGCATTGAGCCTCTTTCCTGCTGCCTTCCTCTTCAGCTGGCCATGCAGCTGCACAGTGGATGCCACAACCCAGGCTTCCTCTTCTGATGTGACTAAACCAAGACTCAAAGAAAGCCTCTGAGTGTGGGACAGTTTCTGAATGGATGCAAAGTTCATTTTGGGGGAACAAAGAGGTTGCATGTTAATTACCCCTTCTGCTCTGCTTTTCATAGAACAGAAAGTCGGCTTGGTTCAGCATGTTGTGGTAGGTGTCTGAGCTGTATGGTCAGGAAAATAAAGTCCTAAGGCAGCCTCTAACACACCTCAGAAGATGTTTAGCACTTGTGCCATTAGCTGGCAATAAGCTAGGAAGGTATATCTGGAAGAACAGGTGATCATGGCTGTGGACCTCTTCTCTCCAAAGTGTGTTTGCCTATGGCCATTATGCATGTTGGGGACAGCAAACATTAAAGCCAGCTGGCCCTGACATCACTGCTCTGCATGGCTACATGTGGATGGAAAACAATTTCATCAGCATTTATCTGCATCCTCAGATAATTTTGGTTTGATCCATGTAATGTTTAACAGAAGCATAAATAATTAACATTGCTCAGCTGCACGAGTAAAGGAGCAGCACAGAACAGTGAACAGCCTGATTGTCTTGGAACTCTGTGAACATCTCACTCTCTTTTCCTGAAAGACTGCATTTGTGCAACCAGGCATTCTAACTTATACATTCATGCATTCAAATGCAGTGGTTTTGTGGCTAGCAAACGAGAACCATCTGCTCCATCAAACCTCAACTGACCTACACAAGACTTCCAGGGGACAGCAGGAAGTGGCACTCTAGTAAGAAAAAAATCCAAATTCAAACCCAAAGTACTTACCAGCAAACTTTGGCTATGTCTAAAATGAGCATGCAGAGTTCAGATGTATTCTGAAAAGAGCTGAGGCTGTAGACACTGTGCAGGGAACCTAGCTCCATGACCAAGGCCATGGATCCCTGTAGATAAAGTACCTTCAGGATCCAGGGAACTGTGCCACCCCTTCCTGAGTGGATGGTAACAAGTCCTGCAAGGTGCAGCAGAGTCAAAGAGGGACTGACAGGACTTCTGGCTGGCTGATCAAACATGCATCTAAACAGTTGATCCACCCATGAATGCCAGCCAGCCAGCTTCACAGAACTTATCTTCCTGTGAAGGAATCCTAGGAAATTGAAATATGTCTTTACAAGAAGACTGAGATTTATTGCTTGAGATTTCCTTCATTTGTTGCTGGTTAATGTTACTGGGTTGCTCTCTTCTGTTATTTGCTATTCTTTGAGAGATTTGGGACTGTGCCTTTGTTTACTCTTTACATATGTTACAACAGTTGCATTTGTTCAGTACTGTGTTTGGGCACTCACAGTGATGTCACACGTATTTTATACAGCTCCTTCAAGTGTTAGAGGTTACATTAAGTACTTTTCAGATCTTGCTATATTAGGTGGTCCTTAACAGAGAGAATTACTGGGTTTTGAGGAGACACTGTGTCTGAAAGATTACAAGATTACCATTCAATATACAGCTAAAATTCAACATTCTTACACAAATGAATGGGGTACCTTCTTTATTAATGAGGCCAAGAAGACTCATCGGCTTCTGAGACCAGTGGGGTTTCTACTGTATAGAAATAAAAGATGAGTTGTTGACACTTAAGTGGAGTCCAGTAGGCTGGGTAGCATGGCTGAGCACAAGTGATGGTCCCTGCAGCTTGCCTGCCCTGACCCTGGCCTTCAGAGCTTAGCGCTGGGCAAAATTGTGTGTCTCCAGATGGACCGTTGTCTCCATCTCAGGTAGTGTATAGGGCAAAGTAGCTGCCCTTGGCACAAAAATGACATTTCCAATAAATATTTGTTTAGGAGTTGCACATCCTTTGTGACAAAACACTCCACTCTGCTGGCCAGCTGGGTCCTGTGGTCTTTGCTCTCTGTTGGGATAGGAGAGATGTGGACACATGCATATGATGTCCAAGAAAACTAGCTTCATCAGCATTCAGCTTTGTCCTTCTAGGTAATATGTATTTGAAGCCATGTAATGTTTAACAGGGGAAAACAGCAGTATGAGTAAAGCAGCAAGAAACAGCACAACCCATACCAGAGCAAGATCCTTCTGAATTTAATGTAAGTACCCAGTCATCTTTACCTTAACGATCTTGATGCAGCTGTATGGCACTTAGCTAGTGAGTCATGAAGCACAGCTGCTTTCAAAGGTGAAACCTGGTTTCTAAGCACTCAAATGACATCAGAATTTAATTTCAAGAAATACTGAACAGCAGATTGTGAGGATACATTATAGCATCTCCACAGAGTGTAACTCTGCTCTGAATATTTATCCCACAGAATCTATTTCTTTAACAAGGGGGAAGTATTCTGACTTTTCAACTGTCAATCTTATTTTTTTATTATTACTAACGTTCCCTAAAGCTTACTTCAAGATAACCAAAACTGAGGCAAATGAGCTTTCTTATTTACAACACCATGGTCCAGACAGGATTCACAAATTGATTTTGCTATGCCAACTACCCTGTGATTCTGTGATTTACTCAGATCTCACAGAACAAAGCTGGAGAAGGACAAGCTGTCTCCTTTTCATCCAAATCTTAATGGTCAGATTGCTGGGAAATTCAAAGAAACATCTCATCTGCTCTACTTAACCTGTGTAGTGCCTCTGCCATTGACTGGGGGTGAGCAGCTAACTCATGTGATCTCCTTCTCTGAAGTGGTTCTGTTTTAAGTAGAACATCAGATGAAGACTATTTGGATTTGTTTTTCTAGTAATTAGTGTAATTGGAATAGTTCTTATCTGTTTTCTGACAGCTTAAACATACTAGAACCTACAAATCATTCCAATGTGTTCATGGTCTAACCAATAAAAGAGAAAGCAATAAACAAACAAACAAAAAATGGCCACAGGTACCAGAAATGGCCAAGATGCCATGATTCAGGTTCATTGCTGAGCACTACTCTAGTCATGGGCCTATTTGCCTTACAAAAGGAGGCTTTCCTATTGATAAAATTTGGAAGGACAGGACGGGCCAAGCCCACTCCAGTGACCTCACCCTCCCATGAGAGGAATGGGGGGGTACACACGGAGATGAATGCATCAGGAAGACATGCATCACGTGAGTGGTTGTTTCAAATAAAGCCACATAGTCTGATCTAATCAGGTATTATTGAAGCATAAAATTATACCAGCTCTCTTGTGATTAGTCACTTTGTATGTTAAAATGAGTCAGGAAAGAAAGAATACCACTTTTGAGTACTGCAATCTCGTATTGTTTTTCCATTGACATAGCACTGTTATTTGATGTAAGCCTCATTCAATCACTAATAGCATAATAATCCTGAGAGCTATTTGAGACAAACATAAAAGAATTAATAGTTAATCCTGATGTGCTGCTTCACCATAAAACAGATATATACAGAGTAAAAAATAAAAACCCAAGGTATTTTTCACTTATTCTCTCTCTGAGTCTTATTTTTCTTGCTTCTTTCTCCACATGTTTCTTTCTCCAGAAACAAGGGACTTTCATAGCAGAAGTAAAGTAGAAGTGAAGCAGGTAGCAATGGATAGGAATTACAAACAAACTCAGAAGCACAAGGCTTTAAAAAAACATTTCAGTAGTAAAGGAGCAGGTCAGGCAATAAGAGTGATTAGTGTTGAAGGTACTAGAAAATAGAAATATAAGGTGAGATATTGACACAGCTGACCTCCAGCATCCAAGACTATTTTGTTCTTTGTCCACACAGTAGCTGTGACAAATGAAGGCCACCCTCCCGCTGTGCTTGCTGGTGTCCATGCTCCACCTCACTGTCCAAAGCCTGACCCAGACTGACCACCACAATGACGAGCCCAGTGAAACTGACTCCCAGGAGCAGCATCCCCTTGAGGGATATCCTCTTGAGTCCTGCCAACGGATAGTCCCCAGCAACACAGACTTTGCCTTCCAGTTTTACAAGCAAGCAACCAGCCAAGAACCTGACAAGAATGTTTTCTTTTCCCCAGTCAGCATCTCCACTGCCTTTGCCCTGCTGGCCCTGGGCTCCAGAGCCACCAGCCGGGCTCAGGTGCTGGAAGGGCTGGCATTTAACCTCACGGACATCCGGGAGGAGGAGATACACGACAGCTTTCGACATCTCCTCCTCTTGCTGAACGGTCCCGGCAGCCAGGTGGAGCTGAGCATGGGCAATACCATATTCATGGACAAGAACCTGAACCCACTGAAATCATTTCTGAAGGACATCAAAAAAATATACAAAGGAAAAGTTGTTTCTAGTAATTTTCAGAATTCCACTGAAGCTAAAAACCAGATCAATGATCATATAAAGAACAAAACACATGGGAATATAAACCAAATACTTAAAGACCTCGATCCAAGCACTCTAATAGTAATTGTTAACTACATTTATTTCAAAGGTAAGTTACATAGATGTTATTTACTGCAGTAACTCTATTTCACCTGCACTAAAACAAATACACCTGATTGTTTCAGATTTATTTTTAGAAGAAAGGCCAGTGTTAAGATTAGGCTATTATGATAAGAAACACTGGAACATCTCTACGCTTCGAAACTTCTTCCACATCTAAATTTTTCTAGTATATATTTAGGCTCTTAAGCATAAAAGTTCATTTATTTTCAATCTTCAAGTTTTAGGGAATTGCCAGAGCACAACAGATTTATGCATTTGTAATTTTTTTTCATACTTTATCTCCTTATTATATAAAAAATTACAATATTTTCACCAGCTGTATGAAGAAGAAAAATGAATTCCAATGATGCAGACTAACAAAAATTGCCAAACACTTTAACTTACTTGCAGTCCATTAAACGGGCAGGTACCTCTGGGGTTGGAGTCTAAATGTTCTACAGCTTGTCATCTCATTATACATATCCCAAGAGATACTTGTGAATGCACTGCTTTGGCAATGATTAACTTCCTCTTAGATGTTATATCCATTTTTAGCTGCATACAGGACATACATGGAATTTACCACCCAGAAGGGCATCTTTAGAAACAGATGAACTTTCAGCAAAACAGATTTTATTTCAAGTACTTTATTAAATTTGGGCACCTTAGTCTTTGATGCCTTGGTCTAAGGCATTTCTTTATGACACTGGAATATATATTTTTACTGGGGAGGCAGGGTGGAAAGCTCAAACTTACACAGTAATCACAATACTGTGGAGTTTGCAATTCTACTATTTATTTTTTAATATTGTTTTATTTCTATTCAGTATTAAAAAAAAAGAGAACATACTTACAAAATAGCAAGTTGTGATCCCTGTGTATCTGTTCAGTGAATGACCTGATTAAATACAAAATAAAATATCCTAGAAAATTCAGTTGAATAAACATCAAGAGAAAACTATTTTGAACATTAAAACCCTTGAAACCCTATTCCATTTAGTGTATTGCAGTTGTAAGTGGGCCAAAAGTTTGGGTTGTTCCTCCATGTAAGCTTTTCCTTAGTGCTAAAGATGAAGAACATATGAAAAAGCACAAAAGGAGCTTAGCATGTTACCTTTTAAAACACAGACATATGCTGTGAAACTTGCTTTAGAAGCAATATTCTGAAACCAGAAAGTAACTTGCTGGGTTTGGGTCAGTTTTCATTTTCTTCCAATAAAATGTGAGGTAATATGATGAAGTTACTTCATTTAATTTATTTGACTTAGGAAGGTGTTGTACAAGTCCATACAAAACTTAACCTGAGATATTTAGTTGTTACTGAACATAGTACAGCAATGATGAAAGGGAAGAAGATCTTTAATAAACTTGAAATACCTTTGATCTTCCAGTATAAGTTTAAATCTTCAGAAATGGCTTTATCTGGTGTACATTGGTCTGGACTATATTAATATACCCTCCTTTAAATAAGCATTCAATTGCATTCTTTCTCTTTTGGTTTTCAGCCTACTGGGAAAATCCTTTCAATATTAAAGGGACTCACAAGGAGTATTTCTATGTGAATGCAAAGACCTCAGTTGAAGTGAAGATGATGACTCGAGATGGATTTTACAAAACATACTCTGACAGGAAGCTGTCTTGCGAGGTGGTGCAGATTCCTTACAAAGGAGATGTTGCTGCATTTTTTATCCTGCCCAATGAAGGCAAAATGAAACACTTGGAAGATGCCCTGACAAAAGACACTCTGTCTAAATGGGAAAAAACACTTAAAAGACGGTAAATACAGAATTCTGATTTGATTTCAGAATCCAAAATCTGAATACTCTGATCAGGTTTTACAGTTCCGAGCCTTTGATCTTGACTGAAGATTTAAGTAATGGAATAGGTGTAAAGGGAGACACCAGATGTTTTGGTGATTTGATACTTTCAGCAAAAATCAGCATTACCTTGTGATGAGAGAAGAGCTCTGTGACCTGGGAAATTTAATTTCTTCCCCACACATTTTCTAGTTGATGTTAAATGTCCCCATTTCCTTTGCCTCAAGCACAATATGTTGAGTGGTAAAATTGTGACATAACAATCATATCCATCAGAGGGAATGGATTGTGAATTCCAAAAGAAAAACCTTCAAGGCTAGAAAGAGAATGCCCCAAAATGCTGGCACCACCACTGCTTTTGTGTTGCAGAATCATACAAGAAAGCCCAGTTGATGTCTATCTCCTTCCATACTTCCCCATCCTCCAGGCCATCAGCTTCCCTTCTTTTTTTTTGCCATCTTTTTCAGATGAAAAGACTAACGTTTTAGCACAAAAGAACCACCATCAACTTGGGAATATTTAGTCCAAGCCATGCTTTGATTGCAATAACTACCATAATTTTCTTTTGAATTAACAGGAGGATAGAAGTGTATATTCCAAAACTATCGATTTTGGGCACCTATGACTTAAAGAAGATGCTAATGAATCTGGGTGTAACTGACGTGTTTTCTGACCTAGCTGATCTGTCTGGAATCACAGAAAAGCCTGATGTGAAGGTTCCAAAAGTAAGTTTGTCAGCAGAAACAATGGTCTGTGGATTCCTCAATACCCAATTGTCTTGCCCAAAACTAAGCTGGGAAATTTTACATATTGCTATGGCTGGCTGATACTCTGAAATAGATCATTAAGCTGCTAAAGAAACATTAAATTCCTTCAGTCTTCTCCAAGATCTGGAGATAATAATATGTCTTTTGTCTGATAGGCAAAGGTTGGGAGGGGTGTAGCATTTGTCCCAGAAACCAAAGAAAGCCCAGTTTCTACATGTGAAAGAAGTGTCCATGGTTATCTATGCTGAAGATGCCTTGCATCAGCATATCTAATGGAAGAAAGTAGGTTTTTTTCTAACGTTCATTCTATAATTTTAAAGGGTTTTAAAACATCTGCTGCCATTGTGGTCCTGATGTGTGCTAATCATGTAAGATGGACCAGACTTGAGAAAAACATCCCATTTACTGAAAATAATGTGAAGAGAAACAGATAAAGAGAAGAGAAATACTAGTATTCTTACAGCCATTCTGAAAGCAGCAATTACAATGTTTTAATATTTTGAGGCTAGTAAAACAAACAGATTAAAAATGCCCAACAATAATTTAACAAAAGATTTGGTATCAAGGTTGAATTTCTACTTTATTCCTTGCGAATTTGCTTGAATATGTTATTTTCAGTTAATTCCACAAGGTGTGCATTCCCTAAAATTTGTGTTGGATACACCTGTGGTGAGGAATACAGTATGTGAGAATACTTGCTTATTGAGACAACATTGCTAAAAAACTCACTATGGGCTATAGTGGCCTTCATCCTGGTTCCTGGTGTACCAGCAATTTTTGTGAAAGGCAGCAGCTGAATTAACTTAGTACTTATTTTAATAATTTCACACCACATCCTCCACATACATTAATTCTTTCTGTATTTCACTGTAGGCTGCTCACAAGGCCCTGCTGAAGATTCATGAGAATGGCACAGAGGCTGCAGCAGTCAGTGGCACAGATTTTGTTCCTCATTCTGTTCCTCCTGTTGTTAAATTCAATCGTCCATTCTTGCTGTTGATTGTTGATCAATATACTCAGAGCATCCTCTTCATGGGAAAAATTGTAAAACCAACTGAAAAATGACCAGTTAATGTCTGATATTATTGATTTGAACTGCATTCGTCATGAAATTAGAGTTCAACATGATTAAAATTAGATCAAAACAGTTACTAAAATTTTTCTTTTTCCGAATAAATGAGGCAAGGGTGTGGTCATTCTTAATTACACTGTTATAGTTCCTTCTCCAGTATCATAGAATTATAGAATGGTTT